AAAGATAGGTCTGAAATATCAGTAAAAAAAATTGGATTAGGCTTTGAGTTTTTTTGTTAAATGAAGATGTTTACCCATGTAAGAGGATGGTGAATCATTCTCAGTGTGAATACTTTTGTATTCAGCTAGAATCATCTGGATCTCCCCACGATTGTCTATCCTGTCTACAGACACAGAGTTCAGTAGAGACAAGTGTTCTACTTGGAAAAAAAGGAAGCATAATGAGAATAATATTTTTATATGGCGTAGTATCATTTTGGATAAAAGATGATGACTCAATAGAATACGTAATGACAATACATGAAGCCTCCGACTATTAATTTGGTCTGCGTTCTATCTCCTGTGTTAGGTAATAGAATATGGTGAGTAATTTGTGGTTATGTGTTGTGAAACTACCTCGATTGAGAGGGTTAGGACATGTGTTACGCATGTCGCCTCCTTCGATGGACATATGATTAGGTCGGAAAAAGGCTAGTATGGTGGTCATGAAATTTCATGAAATCTTTGGCAGTTAATTTGAGCCAGCCACGTAGGAAGATGTAGTGTTTGGTTGTGGTAGTCGTGATTCTAAAAACTAGTGGTTAGAGACTATTGGTGATATGGCTTGAAATCATTGTCGATGGCGTAGATACATTTTTACCCTCCGTGATCTCCCACTTCTATGCACAGTTCTGTGTTAAAATCAGTCATTCAGACTAATGGTGTCTCATTCTGCTTTTTCTCCTTTCATTTCTTTCCATTCCAATTAGAACAAAAATCTTCAAGCTCTGAAGTGTGAAGCTTCAGTAGCGGTTGTGTTGATTTTATGGGTTGGTTGCTAGTGTCAAATATAACCTTCCGTCTTCGCCATGCATACATACTACTGGGTAAAAAATTTTTTGATTATAGCTTGATTCCACACCGTATTCTTGATACAAGTATGCAATTTTCAGTATGTGGTATCGGTAGCCCAAATTTCGCAAGCCGACCACTGATATCAGGTGTGCGTTGGCAGGGGATCGGACCCCGGACCATGTGCATGGCCGGCGAGAGTCCTAACCGCTGTGAGACCGACCCACATTGGCCAGGAATTGATTCCTGACCACATGTGGAGTTGGTGGGCCATTCTACCGTTGAACCACCAATGCACAGTGGTGTCATATGAACTAGGCTGTGAAGCTACATCGACTGAGATAGCTGGGACATGTGTTATGCATGCCTGGCTATCACCTTCCCCGACGGCCAATGTTAGGTGACATAGGGTCAGGTTATTAAAGAACCAGTGGTGGTCAAACTAAAACATGTCATCAGTCAATGAAATAAATCCGCAACAGTTAGTTTAAGCCAGCCACGTAGGAAGATGTAGACTTCCTGGTTGGGGCCTTCGGGATGGTAAAAACCAAAGACAGCTGGAGACAATTTGTGATATGGCTCAAAATTCCTGTTGTTAATGGCCGGCGCAGATGCATTCACTCTTCGTGATATTGTTCTTCGTTGTTACTATTCTTTTTGTCTCATATCTGTGTTTGCTATCTCTATTTTGCATTTCTTTTTACTTTCTTCTCTGTCTTTTTCTGCTACATTTTGTGACTACTCGAACTGCTGTACATCTGTGCAAAGTTCTATATTGAGACTAGCCAGCCATCATATGGAGCTCCTAAAAGTTCTCAGTGAAATAACCGGAAATGTTTCATGATGATGTGAATGTCATCTTCAAAGTATCCAGTTCCTTCATTAATTTTCATTCAGTTATCTTCCTATTTGTCTTGTACATCTGTCGATGTATCTTATCATTAACCCATTTCTGTCGACCTGCAACAGCTCTTGTGTTGTTTCTAATCATGGCAAATCAATTGACGATTGATTTTTTAAACTAAATTTCACTTTGTGCATGTATTGATGCATTCCACCTCAAAATATGTAATGAATTTAAATATTCAATTAAATAACAAAACATCATTGACTATTGATATAATCCTTAAATAACACCTACTTATTGTATTACAGTCATATAATTGGTTATCGAACATTCTTAGACATTAACTTACTGAACAGTGTTCACTAAGTGTCCGTGAAATGAAAGCGGTCGGTTGGTTTTGCCTCTGACTACAAAGGGAGTCTATTGTAAGGTAGTAATTGGATAAAGATAGTTTCTAAGGAGATGACATCTATACCACTAAATGTTCGTCGCATTTAAACGAGTAGTACACTGAAATGTTATTTGAATACTTACTGCCATTGTATAAACGTGTAATAATATATCTGGATTAAGATCAATTGATTCTGAAGTCAATAAATTCTGCAAATTAATAAGTTAAAGGTCAAAGACCATGTGACTGATTACCTGTAAACTTGATTAAATCACGCCTCACTAAGATGTGTACATTTAATCTGAAACCAAAGTATAATTCATTCATCTGTAGACTCAAAGATTGATTATGCTGTTAAAATAGGGTCAGATTGAAATATTTAATGATAGGAAGTATCGATTGGAAACCTGGTAATTTGGTGTATCAGGTTGAAGAAAAAAAGAGGTCCACGGGTTCGTTTTTAATGTTTTTGGAAAACTCCATCAAGTTCTATTGTTTTATGGATGAGTTCTTGTAGTGGGTCGATTCAATAGTCATTTAAAGTGATCAATCCAGTGGTTCCTCGATTTCCATCTCTTTAGTGATTGGGTTTCCTTCACTTCATTTCATTGGTTTCATCTATGTTCATCTCTTTCCAGAAAGTGGTCTGCCTATTTGGTAGCTTTCCGAGGCCTTTTCAACTTGCTTTCTGTTAGTAGTGTTTTTCTTAGTACCCTTCTTCATTCATTTGTTCAGTACTCTGTAGGATGCACTCAGCTTCTCCTTTCGTTGTTCACCTGTTTCATCATCCTTCTGCCCTCTATCAGCTTCCAGGTGTCCGTAGACAGCCACTCTTTTTTCTTGTTCCTTCTTCTTGACCGAGATTTCTATATACATGTTTCCTTCCACGTTACCTTTATGAAGTTCCAATATTCTTCCACTCAGGTTTCCTCGACGGTATTACTTATTGTCTCCTACTTCTTCCTGATGACTGCTATGAAGGCGGATAGTTCTCCGTTCTCATTCATTTGGCTGAGCACGTTTCGACTCATAATGAGTGTCTTTCCTGTGTTGTCTGCTCCCAGTTCGGCTTGTATTCGTATCGCCTTTTGGAATTTTAGTCTTGCCACCTACCCCTTGGGTCTAGTTTATTATTGCTTGCAGATATCAGCATAGGTCCTTTTTCTTCACTTATTATGCGTTGTCTGTATGCGCATGGCATTGTATGCTTGTAACTTTCCTACCTTGTGGGGTGAATCTCGCCGTCATTATTCTAGAGGTGATTGGTTGCCATTCATGAACACTGGTGCTGCTTGTGATATCGTTACAGCCATATTGTAGTATATTATCCTAGGATTAGACTGATAATTTGAACGATCAAATGTTTTCAATAACTTTGTTCTGAAGTTCTACATCTACTTGATTTTGATCTCAGTTGACTCACAATACTGACTGTTTAAGCACCTGCAGCTCGGTATCGATGTTATCGTTGGTCGATTGGAAGTAATCGGCAGAAAACATTGATTGACCTAGGTTTTGTGTTAGTTGGTACTTGTCAATATGGTGTATTTGCAATCATGTCCCTTCTAAGATTCGAACCTACGTCATCGTGTGCTGCATTCTGAGCTGTTCAGACTGGCGATTGACCTTCTGTAGGACTGTAATGAATACTTTGACTGGACACTATCTGGTAACTAATGTTATGCGTCTGACTGACAGGTTTCAACACAGAACTTTGCATAGATGTGCAGCAGTTCGAGTTGCCGCTGTCCCTCCATGTAGCACACAAGACAAGAGAAGAGAGTAAATAGAGATTCAAAAGAGAGAAAAAAAATGGAAGAAGAAAATTTTTTAACTATTTCAATCCTGTTTCCGCCCCTTTTACACCATATTAATTAATATTTCTTATAAAAAATCAGTTCCCATTTTAACACAACCTTGGAGAGGATTCTTACCTCCCTCTTACAAATCAGCAAAAAATTTATTTAATCGAACCAAAAACATTAATTTATTCAAAAATTAAAATAGGATTTTTTAAATTTTTATTTATTTTTTAAATGTATTTTAAAAAAAAATTGATATGATTATGAACAATAAATTGTGTTCGAAACGTCATCCAGTATACAATACTGTTTCACTGTGTGATACATTTAATAATCAAACTAATATGGAATTACTTAATACCACAGTGCCCAAGTTTTACACATATATTAATCTGCAAGATTTTATTAATCATCACTCCTGATGACTTTGAACGTGAATGGTTGTTTCCGGAGACTTTCTCATCCCTTTGTTCATTTGCATGCGTATCGATTACTTTGTTGACCCTTTATCCTTGTGCCTTTCTTTTCGTTCTTTGATAAATCTAATCAATTTCAAATGTCAGTTGTTAGATTTTCATCATGAATCAACACCAACTGAAAAGATTATTGAAAATCAGGGAGCATTGGACAACTGTTTCGTCCTATTTTGAGATTTCTTACCAGTACAAACGAGTTGACAAAGAACTCAAGGCTCATTAAATTCCAACTCAAGTGGTCTAAACGGTCAACGAGCTCTATCTCGTAAACAGAAGGTCGCGTGTTCGATCCCTGACAGGGTTGTGGGAGCACACTGATGAGGCGCCCTGAATTCGGACGAAACAGCAGTCCAGTGTCCCTGGTTTCCAGTGATCTGTCCAACTGATGTTGGCTGTAAAGGGAAATCTAACAATGGAATTTAATCCAAAATCTATGGAAATCTTAATAATCTATTTGTTTAAATGTGTTGTCAGTTGCTGTCACCAGAGGCAGATATGTTCCATCATACGTTGCTTACATTGTTAGACGACAAGGTAGGAAATTTGGAGTTGTTGTCATTTTTACTCTTGAAGTATTACCAATGTTTCGTCCTTTTTTTCAATCGATAAAACATTATCTCAATGTTTTTGTTTCCAAAATTTGTTTGAATTAGGAAAAAAGTATCCGACTACAGAATAATCTGGAGACAATGATGAAACGTGGATCAACATTTATTCAAAATTTTGATAGTAAACGTCGTGAATTTGTCGATCAATTAGAGGATATTTCACATGAAGTTGTTCGTTCATTTATGCGTATTTTTGGATCAGATGGTCATTTACGTCATTGGTGGTCATCGCGTAAACGTGCAATATCAAATTCAGCCTTTTCATCTCCACGAACATCACCAACTTGTAGTGGAAGTGATGAAGATGATGATGAATCGCAGCAACCGTATAATAAAAAACCAAGAAAATGTTACAGTATGATCTATGGTCCTCGTTCGTGTAGTAGTTCAGTCACAGATTCTGATGAACAGACCAGTGAACGAAAAACGTTAGTTCATTATTCATGAATTTCTCAGTTATTTTGTTTTAAGAGTTCATCATCACTAATATATGTGTGTAAAACTTGGGCATTGTGGTAGTAAGTAATTCCATATTAGTTTGTTTATTAGATATATCACATAGTCAAACAGTATTATTTACTAGATGACAAAGTTTCGAACAAAATTTATTGTTCATAATCATATGAATCATATAATCACACGACTTCAAAACTTGAGTTTTATAGTTTTCTTTGTTTTCTTCTATTTGGGTAGTAGAATTTTTCAGATATCAGGGACAGGTGATGAATCATTCCTATTACATGTATTTGCAGTTGATCCGATAAACAGAGCTTCTGTTATCAATCTTTCCCTCCACCCTGTGACATTAGATTTTAAAACTGTCATCCTATCCCATCCATCCTATTGTATGGTTGTGTGTGACTGCATGTAATGAGTGCTGTAGCTGAACTATTCTCTAGATTTCTTATCTTATTCGGGTCAACTAATCTATATTTTGCTAGGTTTTTATGTTCGGCTAGTCTGACTACTGCCCCTGTTCTACTAGTTTGACATATGTATTTGACCTGACAATCATTGCAGGTAGGGTATTAGATAAACTAAATTGTTTTGTTTTAAAGGCTTCACAGGATCCTTTGACCGACAAAGTTTGTTTCTAATTGAGTTTGTGGCTGGTTCGAATGCCAGCCACTTTTATTCTTGCCTTGTTAAGAATTCTGAGCAAGGCTCCCGAGGTTCCTTTCTTGTATGGAATTACTACTGATGATTTAGATTCCTTATTGCTGGTGTCGTCATTAATATTATTATTATCACTATAAGTATTATTATTATTAATACTGTCACTATCGCTACTATCATTATTTATTTTATTTTTACATTTCCTTACATATTTCCTGACTAATTTATCCGGGTAATTATTACGTTTCATGGCTTCTTTTATGTGTATCACTTCCAGTCTTAGATTTTCCTTGGTACTATTTAGTTTTTTCTGCTCTATTATTTCGACATTTCACCAATCCTATTTTTACTGACATAGGATGGGATGATCGGAAGTCCAGATATGTTTGAATGTGTGGGTTTTACTGTCAACACTTGTGTTTAACTTCCCATCTTCTTTCCTTTTTACGCTGCAATCTCGACTTTCCAATTCATAAGTGAATTGAATTACCTCTACCTTCGAGTTGATGTGTTCGAAAAATCTATCTATATCTTGTGTTCTAAATACAGTGAATGTGTCATCTACATACCTCCACCATACTTTTGGGGTGGGGTGATATATCTAATAAACAAACTAATATGGAAGTTCATCATCACAGAAAAATGTCTGTTCAGTACATTTCGGTCATTAGTTCCGGGGAATTCAGTAGGTTGTCGTTGCACGATCAAACTGAATTCTCGTTCCCTAGGAAACTGCCAATGTATATACGGTTAACTTGAGCACTTATATATATATATATATATATATATATATATATATATATATATTGATTATATCTTGATTCCACACCGTAATTTTGGTACAAGTATGGGATTTCTAGCATGCGATATCGGTAGCCCAAATTTTACAGGTCGACCATTGATATTAGGTGTGCGTCAGCAGGGGATCGTACCTCGGACCATCTGCTTAGTCGGCGAGTGTCCTAACCACTGTGTCATCGACGCACATATGTGTAAAAGTTTGACACTGGTAGTTTATGATTCCATGTGAATTTCTTTATTGGATACCTATCATACAGTGAAACAGCATTATTTAGTAGATAAAAAGGTTTCGAGCACAAGTCACTGTTCAAAATTACATTGTCAATTGTAACTAGACAACTTCAAAGCTCTTTACTTATATAGTTTTCACTCTTCTTTTTGTATTTGTCGTAAAGATCGTAGGGTTTTCCAGATGTCTGAGACAGCTGTTGACTTGATGCCTGTTGCATGTGATCTCAGTTAATTCGATAAATAAAGTTGAGTTATCAGATCTCTCCTTTCATCCGGTTGCATTAGATTTTATGACTGTTACCTTGTCCCTTCATATTTAATGGTTGTGTGCAATTGTGTGTAGTGCTGTAACTGAACCATTTTTTTAGATTCCTTATTTTATTAGAGTCTAGAGTTAAATGTCTAACGAACCGACCAACAGCACTAAGTAGTACATCATAAAAACCTAAATGATTAAATGAAACAGATAGAAGAAGCTTTGGTGTCAAATAACTATCCTATGAAATTCATTAGGGAGATCAGAAAAGGTCAAAGGCAAAATAAAAATAATGGTAAAACTAATAATGACAACATAAATATGAGAGAATATAAGGCATCTACTGTTGTACCATATAAGGAGGGGATATCTGTGACCCTATGTAGGATTCTTGATAAGGCAGGAATTAGAATGGCATTTAAACCTACAAACTCACTCAGGTAGGACAAGCTCTGTAGGTTAAAGGACTCGGTGGACCCAATTAGATAAAATAATATAATTTACAAAATATTTTGCAATGACTGTGAGTCAGGTCAACTACATAGGTCAAACTAGTGGGTCGGGGATAGTCAGATTATCGGAACATAAGAATATATCTTAGTATAGAATGATCGACCCCGTGAATATGAGTAATTTAGAAAAATGTCAGCAATTTTACTGTATGCATTTACACACAATAAATTGGAACAGAGTTACACTCCTAAGAAGTAATATAAATAAAGTGAAAGCGAGGTTTATTACTGAATCTTTGTTCGTTGGGTTTATACGTAACACATGCAACAGGAATGACTAAGACTTACCATCCTCGTTGCATTTCTATGCATTTTACGATGGGCCACGTCTGTTGTGTGCATTTGTGAGAGCTAGAAATGCTTAGCTGCTCGAACCTCCGCGGTAGGTGAAGCGTAATTTGAACGCGCATGATCCAGTGGTTGGAAGTCAAGAGTCTAAACGAATGAGATACATCTCTACGGTTGAATATGATACACATTTTCACCCACTTAGGATTTATTTAGTTGAATATACCTGCATCTTCTGTAAATATGATGCTGTTCTTATTGGGTCTCTCCCATCGACTGAACTACTAAACAATCCCCTTCCGTACACGTCTTATTATCATTGGTCTCTTGTGTTACCAGTGGAAAATAGAGCTTCAGCTGCACATATCCTTTTGACTCTGCTCTTTGCCAACATTTCCAACTATCTCTACGACAGCCCACAAGCTTTCATTTCCTCTCCTTATATGATGTTATCCATGTCACTCTCGGACGCTCAACCCATCGCTTCCCATTCGGGTTCCACTCGAGGACCTATCTGGTATGCGATTTCATTTGAATGTCTCCTCACCGTATATCCTACCCATTGTTATACTTGTTGGGCAGCAGATTGTTGTCGAGTTTCTTGTTGCTTAACCCGTTGCTAGCAGGTCATGTGATCTTCAGTATCGAGCGAAGGTAATAGCTGGTGATGAAAGTCTTCACTTCAGTAGGCTGTTGAAATTGTTTTCGGTGACATAATCGATCAACCTTCCCTCTTTTCTGGGTGACAGTGTTTAGGACTCTCGCCGACCATGCACGTGGTCCAAGGTTCGAGCCCACACTGACGCACACCTGATATCTATGGTCGGCCTGCGAAATTTGAGCTACCGATATCCATACTGAAAATTCCATACTTGTACCAAAATACGGTGTGGAATCAAGCTGTAATCAAAAAATAAAAAAAATAGTAAACTAGACTAAGTTTTCCCTAAATGAAATTCTCACTTCGCAAATCAAATGCACTCAAGTAGGTAGACAGAAATAGGGTGGTTTGAAGTGATTGAACTTACTGAGCTTAGCCAGACCCCAGATACTACGCTGATGAGCTTGTCCTCAAACGAGCGAAACAACCATCTGGTGTCTAAATCACTTCAGTAATCTGGATAGCACGTTCTACTGGTTGATGTGAGTGGTAGACGACTGCTCATCTCCATCAATCAATAGTACGTTGATTTAGGTTTTGCCTACTTGTGCATTAACTTAAGTATTATTTTGATTTTTCTAATTTTAACTGTCTTTATTTTTTAGACTGTCAAGTACAGATGAACCACGTGGTGATTACTCACCGTCAATAAACGATAGTCGAAGACAATTAATTACACGACAAGGATTTAAGAATAATGAATCAAGATTACGCAGAAATAGTTATCGTAGCCTCCGATCTACAGGGAGGAGTGAATCATTCCTTAAAAAGAAATAATCATTCTCTCAGGTTTCTTACAATCATTGATTGGTTGATTGATCGATTCTTTGATTTGTTTATTTGCTCACTTGTTCACCACAATTCACTTGTTATATTGATATATAGTGGAACAACTTGGTTTTCTCCTATATACACTGTCTCTCTCTCTCTCCTGATTTACATTTTTGCCTTTAATAGTTTGTCATTTTGAATCGAGTTTTTTTGTTTTTGTTATTGTGTGGATCTTTTGATTGAACGACATTCACCGTTCACTTCTTTCTTTTCTTCCTCTATCTTCTTATCATCAAATCTGCAATATACAATAACAACAGATGGAATTCTTGTATACTGTGAAAGTCTTTCTTTTATTATGATTACTATTATCATTGTTATTATTTGTTGTGATCATTGGCGTTGTAATGATCGTCATATGGAAAGACGATTGGACAAGAGACTAAAGAATGCTCTATCTCCCAGTACCTCGCCAAAAAACCGATTTATTTCTGTACTATTTTCTTTTTCTGTATTCTTGTTGATTAACTGAAGAAAGAAAACGTGTTTTCGTCTTATTTTCCTCAAGTAAAGAAAAAAAGTCACTCACCACTTTATACGTGTGCAGTAATAAATAAATCCTGGTGTTGTTTCGCAGGGATTTGATTAGCTACAGATTTGATCACTAGTTGACGTCAGTAAGAGAACCATTGGAAAACCAGGGAGAGCCGTTCCGTCGTAGTTTGAGGACTCTTCAGCGGTACACATCCACTGGGGTTCGGACATCTGTCTGTCTGTTTTCGACATAGAACTTTGCACCGATGTGCGACAGTTCGAGTCGCCACATTCCATGTAGTACATAAAGTAAGAGAAGAAAGTAGAAGAAATGCATAATAGAGAGAGTAAACAAAGGTGTGAGACAAAGGAGTAGTAATAACGAAGAACAATATAGTTTCATTGGAAATCATAAGTCACAGGGAGTGTATGAATCTGCGCCAGCCATTGAGAACGATTTTGAGCCAGTCATATCAACAATTGTTTCCAGCCATTAGTTTTTACCGTTTTGAGGACCCCGACCAGTCAGGAAGTCTACACCTCCCTAAGTGGCCGACTTAAACTAACTGTTGTGGATTTCATTGACTGGTGAAGCCATGTTTTGGTTTGACCGCCACTAGCTCTTTTCCAGCCTGACCCTATATCAGCTAACATTGACCGTCGAGGAAGGCGATGACCAGGCATAAGTAACACATGTCCTAACCATATCAATCGATAAGGCTGTGAAGCAGCCGCCCCTCCTTATCTAGCACTCGACTGATGCTTAACCTCAATATTTCTCACCCTATTATACCACTTCACACGGGTTCATACATAGGACCTAACAAGTCACAAGGCGAGCTCGTGGGCTATTCGGCTAATGAGAGACTATCAGATCGCCCGTGAATTCGCAGTAGAAACGCGCACACCCACACACATTTGCAAGCACACAAGCCTGATTTTTCTTATCGAGAAGAACGCCTTCATATAAAATAGGTAGGAATGATGAATATGGGTTGTATAGCTGCGTTTATATAGTGTATTGAATATAGGCTTAATATTTGTTCCTGTCCTTATATATTACCCCAACTGTCTCATCGGTGAATTATTCAGAGGATTGTCAATGACTCGATTTCCAGATGCTTCCATCCAATAAGCTTCATATGATTAAGAGGTTAGATATTGTATTGGGTTGTGTATTTTGTTTGTTGAAATACGAATTCGATCTTATCTACGAACACTAAGGGATGCGTTATACGATAATTATTAAATAGGAATATAAGGAAAAGAAAAGGAGGATAACTGAGGGACAGTAACATGAAAACAAGTCAGTATACTAATCAACAGCATTCACTGCTTCATGTTACTTTCAGGAAGAGAAGAGATGAGAAAATGGCTGCATGTTCGGGCTAGGGTTAATTGTCTTTTGGACCGCATCGAAGGAATAACGTGTAACACAACTAATCGTCGTCCTACGGCGCTACGTCGTCGGCTAGCTGTCCGTCCACTTTTTTCACCCAAGGCTGGGGAACACTAGGTAGAATAAGAACCGTTGGGATGACATGTCCCAGACAATGAAGTCAATGTTCTAGAATGACATTGCTTATTGAAAGACGATCTCCGTCAGGTACAAACGCACGCCGCCGGACTTCAGAATTATCTCGATGATGATACCACTGAATGTCAAGTGTTAACCGGACACACATACGTCATACATCATCACCTCAGATTGGCCAGGTTTCACAGGTGTAGAGCGAGATCATGCACCGATGCACTGTAAACTCGACCTTTAACGACACACACACGGCTGCCTAGATACATGGACCTATTGACTACTGCCTAGTGGTTCAGCTGAGTAAACGTACAGCCTCCTACTAGTCTTGGATTCTGTAACAGTTCTAATGAAACCAGCAACCTTGGAGGAGGGGAATGATTTGGCTATTCTTAAAAGCTTCGCTATATATAACCAAAGAAACTGTTCCCGGTCCTCAGTTAAATAGGTATTGCAAATTGAAATCATACTTGAGAAGCCATTTGAGTGTTTGTATCCCGTCTCCACCCTATAACTTAGTCTTTTCGGCAGATATTTCTTATAGTTTTCTTGCCATTTTAATGTGGTTTAAGACAGATGATTGATGACTAACCGTCAGATTATATGTAAATTCAAACGCTAAATTGACCACAACAGAAAAAGAGTCATATCTTGCAAGAAATCAATTTTTCAAGTGTTAGTTTGTAGGGATTTGATTGGTTTCAGGATTTTCATCATGAGTTGACATTAGTTAGAGAACCATCGGAAAACCTGGGAGTACTTGACAGCTGTTTCATCCTAGTTTGGGATTCTTCATCAGTACGCCAACCATCAAATGACTTGTTAATCCTCAGATATCATCGAAGCTTCCGTAGGAGGAGATGACAACAGACAGTGAACATTTCAGTCTGGTACAATCATTCAGACACGATCCCCTAGTCAGTTAAGTAATCATCATCACACTACGATTCTGATCCCATAATATATCTCGTATTCCGGACAATCAATTTGTTGTTTCGACTTGATTTCCATCTAAGCAGAACAACTACTGTGGAAGTTATGGAATAGAAACATGCATTTATACACAGCGTTCCCCTTGTAAACGTTGATATCCACCAGTTTGAAATTTTTCAGAAGCGTTGACTCACATTACCCGATTAGAAAAGTATATCGTCTTTTAGAAACGCTTGTCATTAGCACAATTATGCTTCAAAACAGAATAACTAAATATCAAATACTAAAGAGAAGTTTGTGACTGATTTCTATAAATAAAACACATAGAGACGCAAAGCTTTACACAAGATACCATCGGTTGTAATAATCACGAAGTGTAGAAGAATAGTAGAAATGAAAAATCATAACAAACAATACACATGGAGAATAATGGTAAAGAACTGTAACCTGTGAATTATTTTCAGGCTGATAGGGGATGAATGCATCAGTATCATTGACGAATTTAGAGCTCCCATTTATATTTTCAGTAACAAATTACACTTGTACCTAACTAAAGTGTATTATTCAATTCTTAAAAGCATAAAAGTGGTGCTGTACAAGCCTCCGCGATGGCATTCGTAGCATATGGTCAAACCAGTGAAGCTGGTCTTTTAAGATAACTATATTCAATGAGTGGTGAGCTCCACCATGTCGAAACACACGCTACCGGACCCTAGAATTACTCATACAATGATGTCATAGAATGCAAGCAACTCTATGGAGACAGTAATGATCGAATACGCAGAGTCACCGCACACCCTCGCCTCGGAGAGACGGGGTTTCTCAAGAGTAGACCAAGACTGCGCATGCCGAAAGTTTGTAAACCAGATCTTTGACAGTCAGGCTGACGTTGTGATGGTGCTAGGGATGACCCGAATTGGCGTATGCCACCCTAGCTGTCACTATGCGTTTAGAGATTTCATCCGTCTCACCTCCGCCAGCGTTCATACGACCATCTAGATGTACGAACTTCTTGATTACTTCAAGCGGTTCATCTGTAAGGTTGATTGCAGGTACAGGTTCCTGCCAGTCTTGCAACAATACACTGCACTTAGACGGCACAAAGGACCTATCATACTTATAGATACTGACCACCAGCTGATTAGGTATGATTTGGGCAGTCTGCATGTTATCGTACAGTAAGACGACATCGTCTGCATACTCAAGGTCGAAAAGTTTATCTCTAGGAAGCAGACTCACGCCACCACCACATGTAAAATGTGGTCAGTTGATGGCATTCAAGACCTTGACCAGCCCATGTCTAAATAAATCAAGTGATGTACTCATGAGACTCAAGGTATGGTATCTGGTGGACTGAATGATAAAAGCACAAGTTTGCAAAATATTGCATCAGTTCAAATTGCCAAACTTTGGATAGGCACACACCAAAGTAAAGGGAGGAAATAAAACGAAAACACAAAAGATGAGAATATATGAGGACGAAAATCTCATGAATATTAGTGAAGGGTTTGGGAATCTGGAAAATAAAAATGAGTGGATACATTTGCACCAATCAGAATGATTTCGACCCTTATCATCAACAGTCTCCCAATTATTTTCCTCACCACGGTGACCTTAACCAAAAAATCCACACTTCTCTACACGGCTCAGACCAACAGTCTAATTGATATGTACCCACATGATGTGCGTTTGTTTTGACAGTCTATTAGATTTTGCTATGTGTATATGGATCGATATTCCATTATAACTGACTATATGATTTTATCTGTCCACTAACTAAATAAACAATGTATGACCTTATTATCGCATGACATTACAACCAATCACGGTAAGACGTTATCTTATTGGTTCATGTGTTTTAGCCATCTTCATATATACTTTTGTATTAGACACTTTTTCATTATTCTGGTTCACACACACTTCGTACATTTAAGTACCCTTCCACTCACACACTTGTGTAACATTTATTTTCCTCGTCTGGAAAATACAAGTATCATCGTAAACCTAGTGGCCTTCTGATTTCCCTCTTTCCGCGTCAGGACTATTCACTACTCGACGAGCAGTACATAACATAATTGGCGACGGGGAAAACTCTAATAACTCACTCAGCAGCAGTACATAATACTGACACATCGTGAATTTGTGTCAAGTTTTCGTCTGACCACTCACAACTCATTTCCTGTGTAGTACTCCTTCAGTTGGCATTTCTCGTACAGCAAGCCGGTCATACACAACGCGCGTCCTAACCATCTCAATCGGAGCTTAACATACTCGTCGCTCGACTTTGGTGTGTCACCTGACATTTCGCCAAACATCACCCGTACTGTCCAGATTTCACCGAATAACAAGAGAAATCCAACTGCTGGACATGCGATCAGAAACCATTGATGATTTCATAACTTTCACTTTCAACTACCACGTCTCACAGCCGTAAAATGGAACGCAGAGACCAGTTGCACAGTATATACGTCCTTTGGTCGATAGTCGGCTTAAGAGTCTACGCCAAAGATGACGGGAGTTAGCAGAAACCAAACAAGCCTTTTCAAGAGTAGTAGGATTTCTTTAGCAAACAGTCCATTAGAGCTATTGCAACCTCCGAATAAGTAGTCAACACATCCAGCCAATTTACTCTCCA